GTGACCACACCCATGACTTTAATGCCTAGCCAAGTGCCTCATCTCCTTGGAGAGGGCCTACCACAGTACTGCCTGTCCTGTTTCAACCAATCACTGTCTTATCCTACACAGGTAGGAACTGCTTTCCTTACTTTTCTTCCTCTCTTTTCTTGTATCATTGTCTTGCAATAAGCAGGATGCAGGAGGTTTGAGGCTCTAGTGTTGGGAAAATAGTTTTTAAAAATGAGATCTGAGGGTAATTGTATTGGCCATCTCTTGGATCCTACTCTCTTCCAAATGCTCTTTGTATTTCTGGGCCTTGTTTGAAACATTCCCTTTATTTAGCTCGGGTTATTCTAGTTTTTGTTTTGTTTTCTTTTGTGGTCAAGGGCTTGAGCTCTGGGCCTGGGCGCTGTCCGTCAGCTCAACTGTAGACTAGGCTCTACCACTTGAGCCTCAGTCCCACTTCAGGCCTTTTCTGCTTATGTGGTGCTGAGGAATCGAACCCAGGGCCTCATGCATGCAAGGTAAGCACTCTACCACTGAGCCACCTTCCCAGCCCCAGCTCGGGTTATTCTAGTGTCCCAAAAGGTAGAAAGTGTAGTCAGACATGAGATTTGAATTTGATTGGATTTGATTGGTTTCATTTATTGGCCGGTCGATCCTTTCTCACTAGCACTGCAGATCTAGAATTATTTTGCATCATTTTTGTCATCCTAGAGTCCATGGGAAATGATCAGAACACAAATGGTCAAGAACAGATAGACTTAGTGGAGGAAAGTCCAAATTAGTCTTTCATTTTAACTTGATCAGCTCCTCTAGACCATTCTGGTTAATGCCAACTGGTTTGTAAAGCTTCAACACTTGTCACCAAATCAGATTTGAGTCCCTCACTCCACACATTTCCAAATCCTGCCAGAAAATCTATACACAGCACACAACTCGTTAATCTACCAGGAATTTCTCCAAGCAATGTTTCCAAAAGAGCAAGTTCTTCCTACACACTGACAACTAAGGCTTACCTAAAAATATATTAAATCTGACTTAACATTGTTACTGCCTTGTGTACCATAATTACACAGGTTGCAAGAAAGTATAACAGGATTGTAGTCAAGTCTTTATGTTTCTGAATCATGCTTTAGAGACTTAGTCTACACCCAAGTTCATGGTGGGTAAAGAATGCTTCTCTCTTTTTTAGAAAAATTCTAACAAAACAACAAAGAAAACCTAGCTCCCTTTCCCATCCCAAATCCTTCCCACGTCCTCTCTTCCCTTCAACCTGGCTTCAGCACATTTTCTCCACTAGACTCTAAGAAAGATCTGCTTATGAGGCCCCATAATTTGAATTTTCCCACCCAGAACAGGACTACCTAAAGCCATTTGCAACCAAAGTCAATGTTACCTCTCAGTATCTTAACTCAGTGACACTTCTACTTGAGAATCATCTTCCTTTTTACTGATAAACCCACTCTCAGCATCTACCTACCTCAGTCAGGTAAATAATAGTTACTCCTTTGTGTGTGTGTGTGTGTGTGTATGTGTGTGTGCATGCACATGTGCACATACCAGTACTAGAGGTTGAACTTAGGGCTTTATGCCCTTGATTAGCTTTTTCTGATCAAGTCTGAGCCACACTTCCACTTCTGGCTTTTTGTTAGTTAATTGGAGATAAGAATTTCATACATTTTTTCTGCCCAGGCAGCCTGAGTAGTTAGGAGAACAGTCATGAGCCATCTGTGCCCGGCTCAGAGTTATTTCTTGAAACCATGATTATTGGTCATCACAGAAGGTGTTATAGTTAGAAGTCAGAGTTTTAAAAAGCCAATTTGGAGATATAGAAGATGTTTCTTCATAAGTTTTCCTCTAGTAGTAAGTTAAGGTCCACTAGTGAGATTAAATTATCTCATTTTAGCAAACTTAGAAAATAAATCTATGTGATATAAAGCAAGGTGTTCAAATGAGAGTTGGTGGCATGGAAGATGTGGGGTAAACGTGTTCTTCTAAGAACAAGTTTGTTCTTATTATCCTGTGGAAAGAGTCAAGAAAATCCCTGAACTACAAAAGAAGTTCCTCTCTTCCCATTCTCACCTTCCAGTCCCCTAGTAGCCTCAAATCATGTCAGTTTAACAATTATTCTTCCACAAATGAAATCCAGGCTGTCATTCAACATCACTGAGGAAACTGTCATGCTGAGGACCATGAGATTAACATTCTACAATGCTTACAGGAAACATTACTGATGTGAAAGATATCCATTCCCCTTTCTCACTCATTCAAGCTGATCTTCCACGGTGGCTTTCCAAGATCTACTAGATTTTAACCATCTGATTACATCCTTTCTTCCTATGATGTCACACAAGTTAGAATTGATTAGAATACTCTTTCTCTTTTCCTTTTGAGCTAGAAGTCACATATAAGCCATTTGACTAGTGGTAAACAGCTAGGAACAAAGTAGAGACAGACCATACCTGCAGGGTTTTCTTGTCTTTTCTTGTTTTGTGCCACTCCTGGAGCTTGAACTCAGTGCCTGGGTGTTGTCCCTGTGCTTTTTTTGTTCAAGGCTAGCACTCTACCACTGAGCCACAGCTCTATTTATTGCTTTTCTCGTGATTAATTGGAGATAAGAGTCTCATGGACTTTCTGCCTGGGCTAGCTTCAAGCCATGATCCTCAGATCTCAGCCTCCTGAAGTAGTTAGGATTACAGGCATGATCTACAGGCACCTGGCTATCTGCTGGTTTTTCAAAGAACAAATGTTGCATTTAGCCATTTGTCTTTGCTACTGTTCTGTCATCTGCACAGAAGCATATCCACAGGGACCTCCCAATTAGAATGGACTTCTCCTAGGATATTAGACCTTTGGACAATGTATTCAAAGGAAGGATGTCAGTATGACTTATTCCTAGTCAGCCTCTTCAGATAGATAGAGAGCAAGCTGTGAGGACAGGGAAAGTGAAACACTGAGTTTCTTTTCACATGCACTCATGCACAGTAGAGTAGAAAAGTGATACAAAGCCAAGATCTCACTGCAAGTGGGATCCCAGAGGTCAAGTGAAGACCAGGTTTGACTGCTAAACTCAAGTGTCTATGGGTAAAAGACTTTTACTTCTCTACACCCAGTTTTCTCACTGGTGCACAAAAGGAAACTGAAAGAATTGTTAAAAGAACGCCAACAAAAATTCCTAGCTTCTGATTCTGACTAGTATGAGGTCCCATGCTACATAATATGTAAGACAAAGATACATACGGCACAATACATTCCCCATGAATCCAGAGTGAAGATATAGTAGAGAAGAAAATCTGACCCCTCACTGAGTCTCTACTATCTCTACTATCATGTTGGACTCTGTGTTTACAAACACTCACACTAACCCAGTAGGCATTACACAATACACATGAAAAGCTAGGATAGTAAGTTCCATACTTGCTCAGAAAAGGGAAATATTCTCACTACATGGAAGTCTCTGAAGCACTTTCACAGTCAGAGAAACGTAAGTGTCCTTGAAGGATAAACAGATTCATTTTGAGACTTCGCAGGAGATACTTCTCCTTGTCCTAAGAGATGAGAAAGAGGCAAAATTCCACTGCATCAGTGTTGCTCAATGTGGAACAGACTAGGTGGGTGATGATTAGGCCTGGGACCAAGAAAGTTAGGAAATAGTAGATTAAATAGAGAGAGTCCTTCATTACAGGTCTTCTCAAGGCCTCCAATAAACAAATGTGTGTTAAGACTAGTAAAAATTGCAGTGTCCACATTACAGGCCACAGAGTCCTTTATTCCTACAGCTTCCCAAAGTGATTAGACTATTAAGAAACAACCTTTGGAAAACTGTATCAAAGAGACTGTAAAATCCCTCAGGTTGAGATGGGTCTTATTTACCAGTGCACCTCCAGCACCTGATATAGCAACTGATACCGATTGGCTCAGTGAAATATATTAGCAATTGTTGAAATCTAAGTGAAAAGACGAGTGTGTGTGTGTGTGTGTGTGTGTGGTGTATGTGTTTGTGTGTGCCAGTGCTAGGGCTTGAACCAATGGCCTGAGGCACTGTCCCTTAACTTTTTCTCTCAAGGCTGGAATTCTACCACTTGGGCCACAGCTCCACTTCTGGCTTTTTGCTGGTTGATTAGAGTAAAAGAGTCTCACAGTGGTTTCTGTCCAGGCTGGCTCTGAACTACATGTAATCCTTAGGTCTCAGCCTCTTGAGTAGTTAGGATTCCAGGCATGAACCACTGGCACCCAGCTGAGACTGGGATTTAAAACAACATGGTAGCAAGGGTATGCTAAGGAGCCAGAAATCACCTCCCTATGGTGCCCCAGGGCATTGGATGGGCATAATTTTAGTGCTTTGAGGTGCTTTAAAAAAAGTCACTACAAATCCCCTCACTCCCTCTGAAACACTCAAAGGACAATAGAATAAGAGCTTCCTGTAGACTGTGCATTCCTTTTCATTGAGTTTTGAGTCAGAAGTCAGGCTCTGAGCTCTGCTACTTAGCTGCAGATTATCTTTGTTTCTTTGCTGCCATCTTCTGGATCTTCAGCACCTACATGGTAAGTTTTTTAAATGCTTGGATTTTACTGTGGAATTTTAAACATCTATCGACATCTTGTCACTCCTATGATATAGCACAAGTAAGAAGCAATTCAGGTGGCTTTTACACTTTTTCTTTTCAGCTGGAAGTAACATACAAGTGATTTGACAAGTGATAGAAGTTAGAAGCCCAGTAGGGAGAGAGACTACATCTGCTGGTTTTTTCCAATGAGTAAACACCAGGGTTAGCCATTTGGCTTTGTTCAGTTATATTTACAAAGAATTCTACTGCTCTCTCATCCATGTGCAATTCAACCTTGGATAGAAAATCCCATGCTTTTAGAAAAAAAGATGGCTTTCAAATTCCTCCTTACAAAGTCTTTGAGAGAAGCAAATAAAGGGTGGAAATCTTGTATTTTATGTGATAGCCAGTCACAGAACACCACAGTGCTAACCCAAGACTGGTCAGCCAGCCTCTCTATAAGCATACCTTGGTCTGGAAGCAGCAGTAGAGTTGGGTTAAGTAAGGGTGTTTCCGTGCCAGAGCCAAAATCCTCTTCTCTGTCATTGTGCAATCCACATCATCGTCCTGAAGGATGACGTCCTTCTTTAAGACCTTCACAGCATATACTTCATCTTTGCCTTTGAGTTCTGCCAACATCACCTGCAATCAATCAAAATTGTCCCCATGATCCCATGCCTGAATAGAATCAAAAGAGGAAACATAATACCAAATACTTGCCTAGCACTGATGGCTCATGTGTATAATCCTAGCTACTAAGGAGGCTGAGATCTAAGAACTGGAAAAGTCCATGTGATTTATATCTCCAAATTAACCAGCAAAAAGCTGGAAGTGGAGGTGTGATGTAAATGGTAGAGCTCCAGCCTTAAGCAACAAAGCCAAGATAGAGAGTAAAACCTGGAGTTCAAGCCCCAATAGTATTTTTTTAAAAAGCAAGCAAACAAACACTTTAAGAACTAATTTCCTTTTCCCTTTCATTTTAAATGTAACAGTATTAAAAATAGTTAGGAAGCCAGTCATCTTAATAGTGTTACTCCAATTTACTTATTTTTGGCAGTTCTGGGATTTGAACTCAGAGCCTCATGCTTGATAGACAATCACTTTACCACTTGAGTCATGCCCCTAGCTCTAAAAATTTTGATTTTTAGTATCTGGCACAGTTCTCAAAGTAGAGAAGTTCAATAAACATTTGTGAAATAATTATTCATGTGTTCTTGTATACTGATAAATACCCAAACTATAGTAAATGGTATTATTTTATTTCTTTCTTTCTTAAGACAGGGTCTAACTATGTAGTTACAGCTGGCTTGAACTAAGCAATCCTCCAGCCTTAGCCTCCCTAGTTCTGGAATTAAAGGCATGCCACCATTCCTGGCACAAATATAGTGTAATCCTTTTGAACAGAACTATTATTTTACTAGCAATTTTTAACCTGGTCTCCAGGTATCATGGTTGCTGAAACACAGTTACAAGCAAACAGTACAATTCATGTGCTACCCCACCCCTCATAGAACATCTTGAATTATATCTAGTTGTTATAAATTGCACCATTTTGTCCATATTTTTAAATTTTCTTTTGTATTATATCCTTAAGATAGAAATCCTCATAATTAAAGGGTCAAACATCTTCCATATTTCCAAACTAATTTTCAAAGATGATATTCATAGATACCATGTATTTTAGTATTATTCATCCTCATTCTTCCTCTCTCCTCCCCTAATTCCCTCCAAACAGTTCCACAGTTACATTCATTATATGTGTGTGTATATGTATACATATATGTTATATATTATATATACACACATATATACACATACATGTTATATACAAATATATTATATAAATATATGCATGTATTCATTATATACATACATGTGCATAAAATATATACATTATGTCATATATACATTGTTATATGTGATATAAAACATGTTATATATAGTATATATACATGTATAGTATATATGACATATGCTTGTTATTCATGTATATAAAACATGCATATTCATGTACATTCATGTATATATAATATGTATATATAACTTACACGCATATATTATATATAATATTTTAATTTTCCATTATATATAGTATATAGTATCTGTTTATCATATATATGTGTGTTTATGTATATCTTTCAGGTCTATATATATAGAGAACAGGAGGAAGCTCATGACTCACGGAAAGCTAGTCAACTAAATTGGGAAGGCGAAGGCCTTCCCCTAGATGAGGTCAATTTCCCTAAATTATAATATCTGTACAAGTGAATAACCATGGTGAAACCCCTTTGGTACAATTAATGTGTACTAAAAAAGTGGAAAACAGTGCATCATAAAAAAGTCAAACAGACTATGTTAGGGAAGGGGTCAGTACCAGAGGGAGGGGGAAGGGAGAGAGTGAATATAGTCAAAATACATTGTATACATGTATGAAAATAGAACAAGGAAACATACGGAATTTGTTTTTAAGAAGTGGGAGTAAGGGATAGGAAAGAAGAGGGTAAGTTGATTAGGGGTATGTTATATGCATGCATGAAAAAGTAACAATGAACACTCTGCTTATACAACTAATATCTGCTAGGGGCAGGGAAGGTAGCTCAGTGGTAGAGCACTTGCCTTGCATGCCTGAGGCCCTAGGTTCGATTCCTCAGCACCACATAAGCAAAAAGAAAAAAAAGCCGGAAGTGGCACTGTGGCTCAAGTGGTAGAGCGCTAGCCTTGAGCTGAAGAGCTGAGGGACAGTGCCCAGGCCCAGAGTTCAGGCCCCATGACCGGACCCAAAAAGAAAAAAAAAGAAAAACAACTAATATCTGCTAATAAAAATATATTCATACAGTGTGCCATGCAGAAGTATTTTGGGTTTGTGACATTTACCAACAATGGGAACTTTCACATAAAAAAAATTAAACTGGTAGGAAATACTACGTCAGTACTGTTTTTACTTGCAATAAAAATGTTTAAGTATTTGTTGAATTTGCTTTTCAATATCTTCTCTTGTCTTTTCCTTCTGCTAGTTCTCTGTTGTTTATGTTATTACCTACAACTCTATACATGTACGATATATAAAAATACTAATACTTGCTGTCTACAAAAATTTTCCTCAGCCTGTTTTATAATTTCCCATTAGTTGTTTCTATTGAACAGCATCTCTATGGACTTAAATCTGCCCTTGTTTGCTTTTAGGTTTCTTTTTTCTTTCCTTTTTTCAAAAAAATGCCAGTACTTGGGTTTGAACTCAGAGCCTACGCACTGTTCCTTAGCTTTGTTGCTCAAGGCTGGTTCTCTATTACTTTAGCCACAATTTCATTTCCAGCTTTTGCTGGTTAATTGAAGATAAGAGTCTCACAAACATTCTATCCCAGAATGGCTTCAAACTGCAATCCTCAGATTCAGCTTCCTGAGTAGCTAGAATTACAGGTGTGAGCCACCTCCCTCAGCCCTGAAAGGTTTCTTTTATAGCTGGAATGTGACTCCTTCTGCACAGGGTGACTTATAGTCTACTTTCTGGAGACTTTGCTATTATTTGATATTTTGGCACTGACTTACTAATAAAAGTCACAGGTCTTTCTCTTTTTAAATAACCAACTCCTAAGTGCAGTATTCCAGTGTTCACTGTCAAAGCTAAGGAGCAGAACTCAAAATCCTACTAAGGGAATTCGTGATGTTCTACCACCCACATAAAGAACATGCTCTGTAAAATTGGCTCAGACTTTAGCTGTGATTTTTCCCCAATAAACCATCTAAGTGCTCCAGAGTCATCAAAGGTCCCATCCTGCCTACACCATGTGGAAATTCTGAGTGCTTATTTTCCTTGAATCTTGCTTAAAAAGAAATCAACCCATAAAAGCTCACTAGCTAGAGCTATGCCGTAAGCCAGAAGCTTAGGGTCTGTTTCTTATTTAGCCTGTCTCTAAAGAATGTGATTGCTCCAGTCAGGAGCATTGTCTCAGGAGGAGATAGGGCCAGGTAAGCTGGATGGTAAGAAGGCCCCAGGCTCTAGGGCTCCCTTAGCTTTCCTTGTGAAGACTCCTGGAATGGGCCTGTAGCTAAGCCCTCTGACTCACAGACTGCAGCTTTCAATAACCCAGACACATGAATACTTGAGGGCAGGTGACACCTCCTCTTACCCCTCTCTTGGGTCCCCAGAGCAAAGCTTTTGCTTTGGGAGATTCTTAAAATGCAAATCCTAACTACTAGTAAGCACAGCTTTAAAAAGAGGAAAGGGACATTCAGATCGGAGATGAAATGCTGACCAGCTTCCTGGACTCTGGCCCACTATCTTCCTAAAACAGTGATTATTTTTGCATTTCATCTGGCCATCAGATTAGCTGATCACCAGTAATAGTCTATTCAACACACTGAAAGACATAGTCCAGAACATGTGTTCATCTCAGTGGGAGCAGAATATGGAGACTTGTCCCAAGGGCAGAGGACCCTGATCCAAGACATAAGAGAATGATTTAATTCCCCATCACCTATAGAAGATAAAGAGAACATTTACTAAATACCAGGTTTAAAGAAACACTTGACTATGTGGTAAGATATGCTCTGAATCTTTCAGTTCACTGAGGACAGAGGCTCTAGAGTTCATGTTCCAAGTTTTCATAATGAAGTAACAGTTTCAGATGGTCTCTGAAGGGAGAAAGAAGCACACTGACACATTAGTGGCAAAATGTTCAGTTCAGTCCACACGCAGCATATCTAATCCAATCCAGGAGAAATGACAGGAAGTCTCACAGTCCCTTAACAGCAAAACCAGGGCTTGTATCTGCTAGGCTTTGGCCCATTTACACTCAATAGGAAAGGACAAGGTAAGGAGACCAGGCTGACCCTCATCAAATCTTAGACCAAACAGATGAGGTAAAATCAGGGTAGGGGAAAAAAAAACCCAGCAGGGCTGCCCACATGCACTACAGACCTTGCCAAAGCTGCCTTTGCCCAAGACCTTGATGAAGTTGAACTCATCCAGGCCCAGGCGCTTGGCCTGGCCAGCTCGCACTTCACCGTTCTCGCCAGAGCCCGCCAGCTGGCCATCCGTGGATGATGATGCCCGGTGCTCCTCGCCTCGGTTGTCAAATGACAATGCTTTCCGGATGTTGTTTTCAAGCTCTTTTAACTCTAGAGCCCCAAATACAAGATTCTGCATTAGTACATACCTCATGAGCCCTTCCTGTTAGAATTCAGCACTCAGAACTGCCCCCCCCCATGAGGTGTCCCCGTCAACCCTATTTCAGGTCTTGATAACAACAAATTCAGAGGGGTCATCCCATGGTTCTCTGTTTGTCTTACACACTTTCATCAACTCCTAATATAAAGGAATGAGTGCCTCAGTATGCAAAGAGGAAGAGGACGTAAACCCTTCCCCGGAGATGTTCACTGCCAGCAAAGCTCTTCAGATTACATTGGAAAGTGCCATCTCTCTGCAAGCCCCTTCAATGCTTACACCATCATTCTAGCTGTCATGAAATAACCCAGACCTTCTTTGGAACTCTGCAGAGACCGAAAGGCAACAGCTACCCATAAGTTGCATTAGAAGATTAGAGCAACAGCTAATCACAAATCACCCTTGGCCAGGTGTTGATGGCTCACTCCTGTTATCTTACCTACTTAGGAGGCTTAGATCTGAGAGGCTGGAGGTTTGAATAACTTCTGCCCAGGCAGAAAAATACCTATGACTCTTAACCATTTTAAAAACAAGCCTGACATGGAAGTATGACTCAAATGGTAGCGTGCCATCCTGATCAAAAAAGCCAAATGAAGTGTGAGGCCCTGAACTAAAAAAATAATCAACACAATAATAAATAAATAAATTACAACATCGGTACTGGCAATGCCATTTCATCTATAGGATCTTGGAAATGTTCACCTTCTAAAGCTCTTCCCTTAGCTTTGTGGCTGAACTTACTCTAAATATTCAGGTGCACGCGCGCGCGCACACACACACACACACACACACACACGCTTACTCTAAATATTCATCCCACATACAAAATCTAACAAAAAGACCAACAGGTTTTATCATTAACAAAAGAATTGCTTTCCATGATGACATGTGGCAAATTTATCTCTGATGGGGCTGAAATTCCCCAATCCAATTTCATAACAATGACATAGTCTGGAGGCTTTCTGGAGTGTGGGACCTAAATTGCCTGGGAGTGCCTGAGTTCAAAAGGGTATGTATATCTTGAGCACAGATCAGATTGTAAAAGATGCTCATGAAGGGGAGTCGAGGCCACATCTTAAGAGACTGGAATTGAAGAGGAGTGACATGGTACCTTTTGATAGACCCATGTTCAGCTTCTTTAAAGGAGGAGTGAAGCCCAGAGAACCCAGAAGGGCAGCTTGGAGAGCCTTGTAAGTCTGGGGTGAGCTCCTCTGAAGTGGACTGTAGTGGTTGGGTTGTGGTGGGAACAGGTAGGCATCATTTCTGAGTCTCCAATTTAGTAGTTGCCTAACTATCATTCACCCTTAATTACATATGGATTTTAGTCTCACCACAGAATTAAAAGTCTCCATTAGTCAATGGATTTTGTGGGAGGTAAAACCTAGATGTCTGTAGACACCAAAGCTTGAAAATAAATGTCAATATTCTCGTGTTAGTACTGGGACTTGAACTCATGACCTGTGCACTGAGCTTTTTTTGCTCAAGGCTGGTACTCTATCATTTGAGCCACAGCCCCACTTCTGGCTTTTTGCTAGTTAATTAAAGGGAAGAGTCGCACAGACTTTTACTGCCCAGGTTGGCTTTGAATTATGATCCTCAGATCTTAGCCTCCTGAGTAGCTAAAGGTTACAGGTATAAGTCACCACACTGGATTTTGTTCTACAGTATTAAGAGAAAGGAAAGAGACAGGCTTATTTTTGTTTTATAACAATGCTATGTCTTGTGAAAAGGGCTTTCCAGCCATGAGTGCACTGATTACCACCTGCATTGATTACTACTTTGGGCTGAACAGAGGTGCTGAAAGGCACAAGCAGGTAGCATACCAGGCCCGATACATACCTGCAAACCATGGCCACTGCACTTGACTTGAGGTCTCTTTTACCATTTGACCTTGTTTCTTTGGCCCTACCAGAGGAGGTCTCAACATTTAAAAAGAGAACATGATAATACCCACCGCAGCTGAAGGTACTACCTACAAACTCAGAGATTTCAGAGTGTCATCAAGTGACTTATAATTAATGGGTCCCTGTTTTGGAGAGGGTGCCAAGTGCAGGTATTTGAATCCAGAGCCTAGGTACTGTTCCTGAGCTTTTGTGCTCAAGGCTAGGCCTAGTGCTTTACCTGAGCCATAGCTACATTTCTGGCTTTTTGGTCTTTTAATTTGAGATAAGAGCCTCACAGACTTTCCTGCCCAAGCTGACTTCAAACCATGATCTCAGCCTCCTGAGTGGCTGGATATACAGGTGTGAGCCACCAGCAGCCACGTGAGTCAAAACTCTTTTGGCATGAAGTCACACAGCATGAGAAGGAACTGAAACCAATTATTTTGGGGCTGGAGGCCTGGCTTCTGGCCCCTGGAGCTGTCCCTACTTCTGAGTGAGAGGGCCTGTCTCACAAATGAGGATCTCCAGGGAAAATCAGATTACTCAAGAGGCACAGATCTGCCCTTACAACTAACTTCGTTCTTGACCTTAGGACACATGTTTGCAACTCTCTGACCTTCCACTTCTCCCCCTGTAAGCAGTAATGGAGTGCCAGCACAGAGTTTGTGAGAGTATAAAATGAAGAAAGGGAATATATAAGGGCTATGGAAAATTCAGGGACCATTGTTCTGCCCTGAGGACCATTCCTGCTTTGCAGATGTATGTGTCCATCCCTTCCAAGAGATGGTTGAGTTTCATCATCAGAGGGGAAAGCACTGAGTGTGTGAGTCCCTGGGCAGCCCCAGCAGTCTTGCTTGCCTCTCAAATTACTCTTATTATCTATTATGTCTACAGAACTTATTGTCTTTTAGGGAAAAAGACAAGGGAGCAAGGCTAAAGAGGGGTGTCCGGTGTGGAGCTGGCTTCTCCCCATTTCTTTTCTCAGTCTCATCTCCAGCTTCATCTTCCTATCCCTACCCGTCCATCCCATCCCCTAACTCAACCTGATCCTAGCTTTTGGGGTACAATGATCAGAGCCAAGGAGTGGGGTGTCACACCAAACACAAACAAGTGCCTTGACGTACGTATCTGTTGCCAGATACTAGGGGAGAGCCCCTTCCTCCCTACACTGGGAGCTAGGAAAGGAGGCAGGGAAGAAAGAACCATAACAGCCCCTGCCTGCGCCTTCTCTCTTGCCACGGCCGTGAGGAACAGAAGGAAAGCTCGGTCAGCTAGTTGCCTCCCTCAAGAAAGCCTCATAACGTGAAATACCTATAATGACACCATAGGTAAGAGGTGCGTGAGGACCTCCTGGGCTGGGAGCTGTTTCAGCGCACAAGACCATTCTTGGCTTCAGAGGTTTCACACTCCTCTTGGTCCTTCCAATGACAGAGCTCAAGGGTAGGAAATTAACTCTTGAGTCTTACCCTGGTCACAAGGCGAGGTGGGTGCTGACTTAGACCGGTCTTCCTCAGATGGAGAGTTTCCAGAAGCTGGCTGTGGGGACTCAGCACCAGCAACAAGCTAGAGAGAAGAACAAGAAGACATCAGAAAGGAGGCTTGGCCAGGTGTTGATGGCTCAGGCCTGTAATCCTAGCTACTCAGGAAGCTGAGAATTGAGGATCACAGTTCAAAGTCAGCCTGGGCGGGAAAAGTACATGAGACTCAGATCTTCAATTAACCACTAAAACAGTCAGAAATAGAATCGTGGCTTAAGTGAAGAGCACCAGCCTTGAGCAAAACAGCTTAGGGACAGTTCACACCCTAGGACTGGCACTTGGTGTGTGTGTGTGTATGTGTATGTGTGTGTCTGTGTGTCTGTGTGAGTGTGTGTCTGTGTGTGTGTGTGTGTGCACATGAAAGAAAAAAGAAAAAAGAAATAAAAGAAAGGAGGCTTATAAATTTTCCTAAGGTCAAGCATCAGGAATGAAGACATTGTCCAGAGGATAGACAGGGACTCTGGTATACAACAGCAACTGTTGAATTAATATTATGAGGGCAGAGTCAAGATTTCACTTGCCAGTTAAACAGGAAAATATGAGAGCTTTCAGCTAGCTCAACTTTCATTCTCTCCAAATACAACTGACATTTTTAAGCAAAGCCCAGTACCACCTCTTTAATAGAGCCCCTCCAATTGTCCATCTAAGCAAGGCTGGCTCTCTCATTAGAGCAACGCGAGACACTGGCTGGCTCTATTACCTGCTTGCATGTATTGATTCAGCTTTATATCACAAATAACATCTACATGTGTATATAGTGTGCGAGTTCTCATCTTAGGAAAACCATAGGTTCTTTGAAGATCAGACTCTACCCAGTATTTTCAGTGCCCGACTGACTTGCACAAAGTAACAGGTAATAAACAGATCCTCAATGTACACTTTTAGATTGATTGGCAAGTTGCAATACAATGCCCCTAGTGCTTTCTTTCCTGGCATAGTGCTATGACGTCCATGGCTTGGATCTCCGCCTCAGCCCAGAATACCCTCAGGAAGGCAGCTCACAGCTCCAGACACTCCACCAAATTGCCACTTACCTTTTTCCTCCTCTGGCCACTGTTGGTGATTTTGTCTGGTGTAACGCCCAGGTCAGCCAGCACTTTGGCGATTCCCCTGGCATCCACACCACAGTTGGGAGCTACATTGGTCTCACATCGACGGTGAACATTCATTTTGCAGACTGGAAGGAAACAGGGAGAAAAGACATCCAAATGCTCACAACTGACTGAAACATTACCTTTGTGGGGAATGTGTGTGTGTGTGTGTGTGTGTGTGTGAATGTGTGTGCACACCAGTACTGAGCTTGAACTCAGGGCTCGAGCACTGTCCCTTAGTTCTTTTGCTCAAGGCTAGTTAGTGTTCTACTACTTGAGATACAGCTACACTTCCAGTGGCTGATTGGATGTGAGAGTCTCATGGACTTTTTTGCCTGGGCTGGCTTTAAACCGTGATCCTCAGATCTCAGCCTCCACAGTAGCTAGGATTACAAACTCAAACTATCAGTGCCCACTAATTGTAAAACTAGTACACACATGTTCCTCTAATAATACTTGGAAATGCATAAAAATTAAAAATAGGAAAATAAAATCCACTATTGGTCCCATCACACAGGACTAAAATTGTCCAAACCACCTTGCAGATCATTATTGTTTTTGTTTTGTTACACACACACACACATACACACATACACACACACACATGCATGCACGCATACATACACACAATACGTATGTATATTATATAAATATATAAAATGTATTATATTTTTCTTTTTTGTCTGTCATGAGGCTTCAAGTCAGGGTCTAGGTGCTGTCCCTGAGCTCTTTTGCTCAAGGCTAGTGCTCTACCATTTTGAGCCACAGCTCCACTTCTGGTCTTTGAGTGGTTAATTGGAGATAAGAGTCTCATGGGGACTTTTCTGCCCAGATTGGCTTTGAACCATAATCCTAAGATCTCAGCCTCTGAGTAGCTAGGATTACAGGCATAAGCCACCAGCACCTGGCAACATGTCTTACCTTTATAACAAATTACCATAATTAATAATAATAATGAACAAACATTACATTTGTATCTCTTTGGAGGGGGAGCAGAATACTGCTTCTAAGAGAACTAAATAGATTTCTTTAGAAGAGGTTCACTTGAATTCTGGACCCAAATGGGTGCCATATAGGTATACACACACACACACACACACACACACACACACACACACATACGCTCCACTAGTCTGCTGCAGGGTACATGTACACAAGGCACTCTACAGCAATTCCAGCAAGAAGCTGTCTGAACACTTCCAGATGAGTAAGGAAAAGCAATCCATTGTGAAACAGGCCAGAGCATTCTGCTTTTCTCAACAAGGCCTACCCTTAGGAGAAACAATTCGGACCAGAGCTTGAACCACTGAGCTTCATTGGCTCTAAACTGACCCAAGGGAAAAGAAAGATCTAAACTGTCCCAAGAGCCCAACTCGGGCCCATTCACCAAAGGCCAGAGGAGGACTGCAAAGTCACACCGTCTACAGCCTATGCTCACACATGACAGGGACCTGCACACGGGACCTACACTCCTCCTCACATAGCACCATCATGCTGTGTTTACCACCACTCCATTTACCTCGTGTACTGTGTGTCCTCAAGACAAAGCACACAAAAAGGTAGGTTCATAATTTAAAGAGATAGAGTTTCTGAATGAGATTCAGAGAGGGCAAGTAGATTGGACTTCTTGAAACGGGAATTTAAAACAACTGTGATTTTTTTTAAGGTAGGTGAATAGAGAGGCTTCAATTCAATAAGTCAGATTACAAGTACAATGTATTTTAATCATTGTCGCACCTTCTATTGTTCTCCCCCAGCTTTGCCAATCCCATCCATATTAATATGCTTTGAGAGGGGCTGGGAATATATAGCTCAGTGGGCAGCGTGCCTGCCAAACATGCACTCACCCCCGACCCCCACACACTCCTTTAAGAGTCTCTGCCTTTTTCTTTCTCCTTCTTTTGTTGGTCCTGGGCTTTGATCTCAGGTCTGGGCTCTCTGTCCCTAAGCCTCTCTGTGCTCAAGGCTAGCGCTCTACTACTTGAGCCACAGCCCCACTTCCAACTTTTTCTGGGTAGTTTATTGGAGATAGAGTCTCATGGACTTTCCTGCCTGGGCTGACTTTGAACTGCAATCCTCAGATCTCAGCCTCCTGAGGAGCTAGGATTACAGGTGTGGGCCACCAGCACCCAGCTTATTAAAGTCAGTAGAGTAAAAGAGGGCATTATACAATAAGCAACAGATAAATTCTTTCAAAAATATAATCCTTAACACCTAACAAGTGCATGCCTATTAACAAGAGAATGTAAAAACATATCAGATGAAACCGGAAAACAAAACAGATGACCCTGCTGTTAGTTGAAGACTTCAATACTCCTCTATCAGAATGAGCAGGTTCTGCCAGCAGAAATCTTTAAACACATAGGTGGGCTCCACAACCACACCCATCAACTGGATATAACTGACATTCATTGACTATTGTATCCAGTAACTCTTTTCAGATGCTTATGGAATATTGGTTAGACATATCACATGCTAGATCATAAAACACACCTTAAATTTCAAAGAACAGGAAGGAGCCTGGCGCAGTGGTTGATACCTGTATTTGTAGATACATGGGAGACATGGGTTGGAGGGTCACAGTCTGAGGCTAGCCCAGGACAAAAACGCAAAACCCTATCGGCAAAATAAAGCACATAGGGCTGGCTCAAGTGGTAGAGCACCTGCTTAGCCTGTGCCAGACCCATAGATGAAGTGCCTGTGACTGGACTCAGATCTAAGCGCTACATCTTGGGAGGCAGTGGTTTTGAAGCCACCCATTTTTAAATACCTCTGAGCTCTGGGTCACTCTGTGCACTAGGGTCAGCAACTTCTACAGAAGCCCAGAGTAAAGAGGAAGTGGGGCTTAGGCTATCGGTAGTATAAGCTTGAGGCTGCAGCTTGGGGACTGCAGGTGTCCTAGCTCTATAGAAGGGCCCCAGAGGAGCCATGGGAGCTGGAAGTACTACAAGCCGTCTGCCCACCTTTCTCTGAGAATAAGAGCAACAGTTTCTCTCCTTGCCCATTACTTCAAAAACTCCAAGCAGCTGTACTACAAAATACCAAGATTGCCAGGTGTCAGTGGCTCACCTCTGTAATCCTAGCTACTAAGGAGGTTGAGATCTGAGGAATGTGGTTCAAAGCCAGCCCAAGGGGGAAAAAATCCCCATGAGACTCTTATCTCCAATAAACCACTCAAAAATCAGAAGTAACACTTTGGCTCAAGTGGAAGAGCGCTGGCCTTGAGCACAAAGAGGCTCAGGGACAGCACCCAGGCTCTGAGTTCAAGCCCCACAACTGACAGTAATAATAGTAATAGTAATAACAACAACAAAGCTTCTTCTGGGAATCCAGACTAACACCTTGAGCCAGAAGAAGTAGTTTCACATGACACTACAACTTTAAGCATAGGAGAAAGGAAATGTGTTCTTCAGAATGTGTGCAAGCCATTACCACGCTCTAAAGGCAAATGGAAGATTGTGGCTCTTACGCAAAATCTGAAATTGTAAAGGAGTAATCAATCAGGAAAACAGTGCCTATGAAGCAAAGACCGGATTCGATTGAGTCTTGATTCAGAGCCTGAGCTCTAAATCACTGCATTTGACTCTCTGCCAAACGGCGTACTTTTACATTCTCTCAAAGAAATATTCAATGAAAAGAAGCTAGACCATGACTGATTTCAGACCACCACAATGAAATTTTAAATTGATTGAAACTGAAAAATAGTGTACATTGAAATTAGTGGAATATAAGTATAATATATAAATATAATATAAGCTATATATTATATATGTTATATCTTCTATATATAATATATAGTGGTGGTAGTTTATATATGTATAGGGCTGGGTGCATATGGGAAATTTCAAATACTTTCTGCTCAATTTTGCTATGAACCTAAAACTGTTCTTTGAAAAAAACGATTAAAACACCTTAAAACCAAGAAAATGTTCCTGAAATGAAACCAAGCAGGCTAGGCCAGACTTCTTACTTGTCCTGCATGAGCCAGTGGTCTCTGGCCCAGGGGAAGGGACAGCACAGATACCCCACCCCCAGCCCTGGTTGAAGAGTTCCTCTGAGCTGCTAAGGGGAAGCTGTTTCAGAGCTATAGGCATGGTGGGAGTGTGGGAGTGAGGGAGGGAGTGGCTTTCTCAGATGACAAAAACAGAAAGTTCTAGCTGAGTTATTACTGATGGCTGAAAATCTGCAGGCTGATCATCCAGGCAATAACCCCCTGCTTGGAACTGTCCAGCCCTTTTCTCTTAGCAACAGCTACCTTTTTTTCACTCAGTTTACTTGCTATGCCCCCCAATACTATCTGCCTCTCTGGGGTAACCAGACAATGAAAGGATCAAGAATTTCCTTCAAGAGCAACTAACAATGCTTGGTAAGAAATGTATGCATTATCCTGCCCATGTAATTGTAACCCCTCTGTACAGTATGTTCACAAGTAAAATAAAATTAAAAAAAAAAAAAAGAGCAACTAACTTGTCCACGTAACTTAACCACTGGCGCCCTCTAGTGTTGAAATGCCAGACTTGACAAAGGAGGAGATAATGCTTGATAGGAAATGTACTCATTATCTTACTCATGTAACTGTAACCCCTCTGTACAGTATTTTTACAATAAAAATTTTTAAAAAAAGAAATACCAGACCTGTCCATCCTGGTGACTCAGGCTTGTAGATCAGCAAAGCAGATTTTTTTTATTTTTCTAGAAGACTTTATTTTTACTTTTTAAAACGTCTGCTATTTCCCCAGAAGAGATGTGTGGTTGTCTTAACATTTGGGAAATTCACAGTTACACATCAGTTAAATAGATAACATGACATTAGTGACATTGACAATACTTTGAAAAGTTCTAATGGGTCTAGGGGACACAGGTAAAGTTGACTAAGATACAAGAAGACGGATGCAGGTACGGTGACAGCATGGGCTCCTGGAGGCTGAGGGCTGTAAATCTGCAGACGAAGACGCAAGAGCTAGCTGGCACCAAAAGAAACCTGAGATACACTTGTATCTATGTGGTTAAATGAGCCATCCACATCTCACTCACACCCAACACACCCAACACACACACACACCTTTACCATTAGAAAACACCAAAG